CTTGAAAGTTTCTGTAGACAAGCAATCTTCCTTGAGACTTTATTTAGATTATGCTTTTTGTTCAACCAATCTACATGAGAGAACATTATGTAGCCAGTCAGAAAGACACATGGGTATACCAAGTTCAGGGCTAGAGGAACTTGGTTTCTAACATTGAGAAATATATATGTTACAGTTATCATTTAGGTCCCTCAGTTCCATAATGACATTTATCACATTCATAACTTGTGAAATTAAATCCTCACATCTTGAAAGAGCAGTATTACTTTATATCCTCAATTTTGGGTTTCATTTTAGTAGTGATGATTTGTTTGTATATCCTGGGAATATTTAGCCAGATAGTGATGATGTGCTGTTTGCACCTCTTCTGAGTGACAGTGAAGACTTGGCTCAATAGAGGCAGAATCCATAGTTATAGGTAATATACAAAGTGGATACTGTTCACAGGTGATCCTTGACTAGATCACAGCTTTTTGTAATTGTTACTTTCTTAATTCAGAAAAAAAAGTGAACATTAGCTTAGAGAAACAAAGAGAATATTAGGCTGGGTGTTCAAAGGCATGGGTTCTAAATCTGATATTACTACTTACAAGTATGGGTCCAGAGAAAACCAAAAGATCATTCTGGGCCCTGTGTACCTTGCATATCAAATGGAGGGAGATTAGACTCTACATTTATTTATTGCTCTTCCACTTCTGACAGTCTGTAATTCCTGAACCTAAAACTATCTCAGCATCATTGTAACAGCTTTGTTTTTCAAAAATTGAAAACCAGATATCTACATCACAATGAATATTGATTTATAAAAGACTTAGTGGGCATTCCACTAAAAGGATTTTTTTGAAGACCGTTTTTTTTTTTTTTTGTGCTCCCTTTCTCTAAACCAATGGAAAGACAAAATTTCCCAGTTTATTCAGGTGCACATTTTTTTAAGTAGTAAGAAAGAGATAAAAAATCCAGTAAGTCATTGTGGCATTATTCTAATTAAAATTGCTTTAAAAATTCTTACTATGCAGATTAAGATATGAGCATGTAAAAGAAAGGACTTCTAATTTGATGTGAGTTTATAGGTTGTTGGAAAGTTCACATTTCATAGAAATGATTCCTTACTGGTCCAAGTTCCATTATTAGATATTTATTCTCTTGCTTTACTATTTTAGAAAAATACAAAGTAGGTCTCAAACATAAGCTACTGTATGAATTTAGGATAATAATAAATTTATAGAGCCTTCTAAAAATGACAAATGACATTCACACATATTATATTAAAACCTCACAATTTTTTGAGGAAATTAGAAGACCCTTCATCTCACATCTACAGATATGAAAATCAAGACTCATAGAGATTAAATGGCTTGTTCACAGTCATCTAGGTAGTAAGTGGTAGAACACGGATTACAAAGTGTTGTGAGGCCAAGGCTTCCAAGACTGACTTGAATTCAAATTTCAATTCTGCTATTTGTTTGCTGTGTGATATGAAGCAATTACTTAACCTCTTTAAGCATTTTTATTTGTAAACATAAAAAAGAATATCATATAGATTACATAGGGGCAATAATATGTATTAAAACATTTAGTGTTAATGGTGTATCATAGTGATCCTTTTGTTTTTACTACTCTATGTATTTTTAATCTTATAACTAGGGTGCATATGAAAGCAAGGATAGGAATATAAAGATAATTTAAAGGTAGGCATCATTTTTCTTTATAAGTCCTATATTCCAAACTCTATTTGCTTTCATTTTATTTTATTTCACATTCTTCCATGAGTCTGCACAATCTATCCCCTTATCACAAATGCCCTTCTTGATCTATTGACTCTCTGACCAATGCCTGCACAGTTTTCAAGTTTAAACTCAAGAGTCATTTCCCTTTTAGAACTTTCTTTGATGCTATAGGCTGTTGATGTGACATTTATGTAAAACTCATATTCATTTATGAGTATTTTCTAAGTGACTTCTGTGGTGTTAAAGAACTCTGCTAGGGCTACATGAGGGAACTTCATAAAACTGACTCTAGTTCTATTTGTTTCTGTTGGTAGTTCCCAGACTGTTGTATTTTACAGACCTTTAATCTTAAAAAAATAAGGACTAATATAAAGTTGCCAACTTTTTATTTTCTAACTAAGGACAAAATAAATAACTGCCATTTACTATCACAAGTATTTTACAAAAGAAAGGACATTTTGGCACCAAAATATATACATGCAAGATTTTTGAAAAGTGAATAAATTAGGTTTTGTGGGAAACTTCATGAAGGGGTGAGGTCTACAACATCAGGGAACAGGCATTGGGGAATCCACTGGTTTACATATATTTTTGCCCCGATTTGATAGTTCTTAGATGCTATTTCTTATTCAATTGTGCATTTCCAGTGCAGTGCCCATTGTCTAGTAGGAAGTATTCAAACAATATTTATGAATGAGGCAATGAATCTGCCTCTGAGCAAATGTCTCTGAGCAAATACCTCTGATAATGAGGTATTGCCTACAGCACAGAGCACCTATGAGAGGATATCAGCAATGATGAGAGAATTGGTGGGGGTGTGTTTATGTGTGAACTGATATAATTTACTTTACAAGTTTGCCAAGCATCAACTATTCAGAAGATTTTATACAGAGTTATTAGTGAGACTGTACTATAGGGGAATAGAGGAGGCAGGGGCAGGAAGTAAGATATTGAAGCATATCACTGTAGAAAGAAATGGACTCTTTCCTGGGATACTGGATGTTATCTGAAAAAGGATTTCATGTGATATCTGAAGTAGATTAAGTATTATAGGTATAGCTACTGTAAATAGATAGCATTCATTGAATATTTATTTTGTGCCAGGTACTGTTCTAAGTTATTTGCATTTATTATCTCATTTAATCATTACAACAATCTATTGAGATAGATTCAATTACTATTCCCTGTACTGATGAGAAAACTGAGGCTTGCAGAGGTTACATGATTTTCCCAGGGTTACACAGCCGGTAGTAGAGATAGGTGTCAACTCTGGTCTGGCTGTCTTTAGAGCTCACCAAAGCTCTCAGGTTCCTTTCTAGCCACATATTTTTATGATGAACACTCTTATGAGACTTGGTTTTCATTTAAAAAATAAAGAGAAAATTAAAATACTTCTTTTAAGCTAGGATTTTAAAGCTGTCTGGGCACTCAGTTTTTCTATATAAAAGCTATGTTACCATACACTGGTCCTTAACCTATTTGAACTTCAATTTCTACATCTCTAAAATGGGGATGAAAGCCCTTCTCTGTTTTCAGAAGGATTAAGTGGATAGTGTATATAAAACAGCTAGCAAAGGGCCTGGGTTATGAAGGGGGTTTAATAAACATTAATTCACTAAGGGCTTAATAAGATAAAATGACATTTTCTAATTAAAACCATATCAAATATTAGTAATAGGATGAAAGCAAATAGATCATTGCTCTGGTGGATAAAGGTGCCTATATTTACAGAATTCTTTAGAGAGCCATGCAGATTATCTTTGCTGCAGCCCTCATTTTAATTAAGAGCATAGAGATCAGACTTTTCAGCATAGGAAGAAGTTTATATTTGATTTGCACCACAGATGCACATTTTCAGCATCCAAGCATTCCATTCCTTGGCTAAAGATATACAAGCTACTTCAGCAAACCTGATATCGCAAAATAAATGGAAAATGCTTAATCATTTAAAAAGATATACCAAAGAACTGAATGGCCAAAGCATGCACATATACCAGTGAGGAAAGTTAACCAGCAGGAAGTCTCCTCTACTTTTTAAAAGGCTGACAAATGGCTTCAATTAGACAGGTGGGATATAAAATCAAAACAGTCCATCTCTATAATTTTTCATACACAAACACATATTGAAATAAAGTGTACATATCTATATATAACCTTATTTTTGATAAAGGTATTGTTCGTGAAGAAAATCAAGTTGCAGAATGTGTAAAATATGAATTTATTTTGGGAAAACAAAGTCAAGCCCTACCTGTATCTGAGTATACATTAGTATATGTTTGTATGAACATGGAGAAGGAATGAAAGGTTCATGCCAGGCTGTTACATTAGGTACCTCAAGATAGGTCATGCTAGTTCCCACTAGAGTGGGAGAGATTTGAGGAAGATGTTTGTTTCTTCATCATCTTTTCATTTCTTTGCCAAATGTAATGAACATATATTATTTTGAAACAATAAAATGTAAAGATAAAAAGAAAAAAAGTACATTTCTTATTATTCATCTACCCATTCATTCATTAATTTATTCATCATCTAATATTGTTTGACTCCTTACTGATGACCTTTTAAGTTGGTCTTCTCTGTGAACTGTCTGATATGACTTTTTCAGAGCAATGTTAGCTAAATTTGATTTTTCTTGTGGGTAGAAATAGAATTCTGTGTTCTGTCCTAGAATCCTGTCCTGTTCCCCTTTGGAATTAACAGGACATATTAAACTCAAACAGTTTGGAGTTAACTTCACTCCTTTCCTTTCTACTATAGTTATTGTACTAGAGAGAATGCTGATTGACTACCAACTTCCATTGACTTGTGGGTGGCAATTGGTGGCAAGACATGGAATTTCAAGCCAAAAGACTAGAGTTTCACTACTGACTTCACTTTCACTACTAACCAGATAGGTAGTATTGTATTGGGATGTTACTTTCTTCCTTTTGAACCTCCACACTATATTTTCTTTTAGCATTAATACCTATCGTGAAGTATGGCTGTAAAGCTCAAATAAGATCATACATGGAAAGAGTTAATAAATTGCAAAGTGATGCATAAGCAATGCAACACTATTTCTCCACAAAGAATTTGTGATTTTGCTTCCTAACAGAGGACAATGACATATGTTCACAACTATTTGCAGATTTCCACTTGAGGCGAGACTATAGTAAGTTTGAATGGCACTTAGAAGCTTTAATTTGTCCCCAAAATAACAGCTGACATGCTAGGCAAGTGTGATTTCTTCCTGGTAATAAAAGCAAACCCAATTAGCCAACAGGGATATCTGACCTTGTGTAGTCATCTTCAACAAGCATGTGCTTTGGAATTGGTGAATACCTTCCTGGAGAGATGGGCGGCAGGGAGGTTTTGTATTCTAAAGTGCCATTGTTGCCAGAGAGTAGATGGTTTTCCATTGGTGGAGAATAAGCTAAGGGTGGGGGGAAAAAAGAAGAGAAATCTGTTATATGGGTAATTCGGTATGTCATGCTATACTTCAGAGAATGTGTTAAAAATAGAAAGGCTTTTCTACATGCCAAGGATTTTCTTGTCCTCTAAGAGTGGGGAGTTGCTGTCTGTTTGCATTTAATATATACAAGCACATGGTGACCTTTAGGATGAGAAAAATGTAATAACAATTAAATCTGTAATCCCAGTAAGTATAATTAGGTGAAGAGAAGAATTGAAGGAGAGATCCAGCACACACATTTTCAGAACAATGATTTTCTATTAAAATAAAATGTTAGCTTTTTAATTGTAGAGCTTACATTCTCTTTACATAATTAATAGCCAATCATCAAAATCAAAAGGCTCCTAAGAAATAGGTTCTTATATGAGATTTTTTTCTTCTAAAATGTGCTGTATTCTCATCCCAGAAAGGCCAGGAACTCTGGGTTTTCTTTTCTATTCCTCCTCTTTAATTTATCTTCCTTTTAGGTGATAACTGGATCTGGTCCTCTCTCTCCCTACTCAAATCTATTTTGCACATTGGGATGAAGTAAACTCTCCTGAAATTCCACTCTGATTCTGTTTTTCTCTTGCTTAAATTCTCTCCATTGCCACCATGTATTGAATACAGTATAAAAATCTCTTTACCATTCTTAAAAAATTGATCCATTTTAGTATCTTTCTAACACAGAGCTTATGGTCCTCAGAAATGGTCTGTGCTCTGTGACATCCATGTCTTTGTGCTACTATACCAACTGCCTATAATTTATGTCTCCTACCTTATGTCACATGTTGAAATCTCACCCAGTTTTCAAGATACAGTTCAAATGCCACCCTATGCATAAAGATTTTTCTGATCATCCAAATACAGATGATATATCTTCTTCCTTTGAATCCCCAAAGAACATTTATTTTTACATCTCCCATATCATATACATACCTCATATTCTGCCAAATATTGCTATTTATATAACTGAATTAGCCTTCCTTCCAACCAAGCTCTTTGAAGGCCATGATTGTATCTCCTCTGCAACTCACATATTACCTTACAAGTAATACAGTGTCTTGCACATACTGAATTACTTAATACATATTTCTTGAATTGATTGGGCAGTTTTGTTTTCTCCCTTTTCTCTCTTTGACATTGACCTTATATGCCTTTCATGAAGTGGCTCACAGATTCTCAAGGCTGATTTTTCTAAATTCATTCAGTTTGAAAAACTCTGAAGGTTAAAACTCTTTCATATCCTATGGTAAGGTTGATCTCAGCTTACCACTTGCTTGAAAAAAAAAAAGATATATTTTGGGGGCAAGTTGTTTTAGAATCACACCATAAAGAAAAGCAATAGCTAATGTAATGAGTGGGTAGCAAAATTATTCAACCTTTACATTTCTTTCAAGAGAAACATCTGCATCTAAGAAAGGTTATACAACTTGCTTAAGACCATAGTACTAATTAATAGCAAATCCTAAAGACATTCTGAGTTCCCAATCTCACAATTGGACTCTCAAAATTTCAGAATAAGCAAGCTTACTGATGTTGACAAAACTGTCCCTTAAATTTACATAAAAAGTGAACTGTTTCTAAATCTAGTGCCCCCAAACAGAACCACAGATGAAGTTGTTGTTGACCTATTAAGAAGAGGAGAAAACATGAGGTTTGTGCAACAGTGGACTTTTTGGAGACCCCAACACAGTGTCTTATTAGTTAATTATTAGTTGTGGCCCCAAAAGCTTCCATGTCCAGCTCACCTCTACTGCCATAGTGACTGATAATTTTCTCTGTTTTCCTTGCCAACATAACAAATTCAAGTAAAGGTAAAAGCTGTAATAGTGGTTGAAGATCATGATTTCACCATTCAAGTGCAAGATCTCCTCTTCCAGGAAAAAGCACAAAGCTATCTCTGACCTACTTTGCCAGTCTCTCTTTTCCACTCTATTAATACTCCATAGATCTGAACTAGGAAGAGAGACTATATGGCACGAGAGCTATCATGCTCTAAGTGCTTGAGAAATAGCCTTTAAAAATGTATTACCCATATACTATTGTAATCACAGTGTCCACTACATATACCATTAAGGCTTTCCATAATGGTAGACCTGGCAACTCATCAGGATGTCCCACTTTTAAAACACTGGATAAGAGCTCATAAGTCGACACAGGCGTGAAATGCAGGATATTCTCTCTGATGTATTTCCAGAAGTTAACATGACGGATGGTGCAAGTAGAAGACTTTGCCAACAATTTTATAAAATTCCAATTTTGCAGACCTGGCATGCTATTCAAAAATGACACTAGTGTGGTACTTACAATGAGTAATATCAGGTGGACCATAAGGATCAGTCATATAAATGGTGGTGGGTTTGCCAACTTTTAGATAAACTACATCTGACGTGTTCTTCAATATTGCTACTGCCTCTTCATGTGTTACTTCTTCTAAACTGTAGTTGTTTACCTGAAATGGGGAAAAAAATCAATATTAGAGTTAAAACTATACATCTGAAGAGAAATATTAAGGCAAAAAGATATCTGGATATCTGGAATTATGACTCCATTTAAAGATTAAATTGTAATAATCACTGTCTAGTAACTTTATCACAGTTTGATAGAACAGATGAATGGCAGATAAGATACAGTCATTGAGACTAAAAAATAAGGTAGTTATTGCCCTTTTTAAAATGAGGAAGTGATATCTTATAATGGAATTCAGAATATTTGTAGAAAAAGGAAATAAGCAGTCAAATGCCATTTTCATTATGTTATAGTTTTTGTGATTATAAAGTAATACATATTCATTGAAGAAAATTAAAAAAAAAAAGGAAAAGGAAAATTGCCCATAATCTCCCTACTTGGATATATTTAAATAATTGTGACTGTATTTTCCATATTGTTTTGGAACCTGCTTTTTAAACCTAGAGTGATTATTTTTGTCTATAACATTAATGTACTTCAACAACATAACTTTTGTTTTCTGCAGAGCACTGTGTTACATGACTAGAACATAATAATTTAATTAAACTCTTACTAGTGCATGTTTAGTTTGCTTCTAATTTTTTGCTAGTATAATACTGCAATTAATTGTTTTCTATATTGTGCACAACTTTGATAATTTCTTTGGGATAGATTTATCCATCCAAGTGGAATTGGTGGACCAAACTATATGAACATCATTAAGGCTTTTGATACCTAGTCCCAAAGTGCCCCCAGGAAAGACAAACAAGTTTACCCTCATACCAGCACTGTAGGAGAGCCATATTTTCCTATAGCTTCAACAAACCTGGATTTTCTCACTTTAAAAGTATCTCACACCAAATGTCATTTAACATGAGTCTATTTTCCAAGGAAAGAGTGCTAATGTTAGAACATAGGGCTTTTCAGGTGAGCAAATTCAAGGGTACCCTATAGCCATCAGCTTTAACAGAAATGCCATTTTCTTTATTGCACAGAAAAGCCTGTAATACAGATGCAATTCTTACTTCATGGCAGTGGCATTACATGGTGGATCTCTGCAGCACTTCTCTGAAATGATTTTAAGATGATCTCTCCAAAGAGACTAAGTTTCCTCACTTTGAGGAAATGAGAATAAATATGCAAGAAGTATTTTAAATACCTAGGTTATTTTTATTTGGCTACTATTTTTCAAAAAGATATATTTCATTGTGTATGTTTGAGGTTTACAATGTGATATTATGTAATACATATAGCAAAATAGTTACTATAGTAAAGCAAATTAACATAGCCATCATCACACATTTTTTGTGACAAGAACAGCTAAAATCTACTTATTTAACAAAAATTCCTAATATAATACAATTTTATCAACTATAGTCTTCATGTTATACATTAGATCTCTAACTCCTGACCTCAAGCCATCCTCCTGCCTCAGCCTCCTAGAGTGCTAGGATTACAGGTGTCAGCCACAGCGCCTGGCCTGACCTCTAGGCTTGTTCATCCTATGTATCTATCACTTTGTATCCCTTAACCTACATCTCCCTATTTCCCCCCTCTTCCCACAATCACTGTTTTATTCTATATTTCTGTATACTTTCTGTTTTTAAGATTTCATATAAAAGTGAGATCATACAACAGTTTTCTTTCTGTGTCTGGCTTATTTCACTTAGTATGACACCCTCCAGGTCTATCCATGTTGTGGCAAATGGCAGGATCTCCCTTTTTAAGGCTGAATAATATTCCGTTGTGTATGTGTATGTGTAAATATATATATTTACACTCACACACACATTTTCTTTATCCATTCATCCATTGACAGACCCATAGATTACTTCCATATCTTGGCTATTGTGAATAATGCTGCGATGAGCATGGCAATGCAGATTTCTTTGTAAGGTGGCAATTTCATGACTTTTGAATATATAACTAGAAAAGAGATTGCTGGGTCATATGGTAATTCTATTTTTAAATTTTTTAAAAGCCTCCATACTGTTTTCCATAATGGCTGCCCCATCTATGTTCCCTTTGATAAGGTACAAGGGTTCCTTTTTCTCCACACCCTCACCAACATTTGTTATCTCTTTTTGATAATAGCTATCCTAATGGGTGTGAAGTAATATCTCATAATGGTTTTGAGTTGTATTTCTCTGATGATTAGTGATATTAAGCACCTTTTCATAAACTTGTTGGCCATTTTTGTGTCTTTGGAGAAATGTCTATTCAAGTCCTTTGCCATTTTTTAATTAGGTTATTTGTTTTTCTACTGTTGAGTTGTATAAATTCTGTACACATTTTAGATATTAACTCATTAGATACATGGTTTGCAAATATTTTTTCCAATCCATAGGTTGCTGTTTTACTTTGTTCATTGTTTCCTTTACTGTATAGAGTTTTAGTTTGATGTAGTCCCATTTATTTATTTTTCCTTTTGTAGTCTGAGATTTTGATGTGATATCCAAATAATTACTGCCAAGGCCAATCTCAAGGAGCCTTTCTCCTATGTTTTCTTCTAGGAGTTTTATGATTTCAGGTCTTATGTTCAGGTCTTTTATCCATTTTGAGTTGAGTTTTGTGTATGATGGAAGATTAGGATCCATTTTCCTTCTTTGGCATATGGAAATCCCATTTTCCCAGCACCATTTACTAAAGAGACTATCCTTTCCCCATTGTGTTCTCTTGTTTCCTTTGTCAAAAATTAGTTGACCACATATGTTTGGATTTATTTTGGCTACTATTTTCTTAATGGAGTGATGCTTTAGTTACTTTCTGCCAAAATGATGTGAAATTAAATGTGCCAAGAGCATTGAATTAAATCCCTATAGCACATATTCTCTGTCTTATCTAATTAGCATTCTAGTCATATAATACTTGCAGCACTGCTATTTTTTACTATTATTATTTTTGACCCATGTTGTTATGTAAATTTCATGGGCCAGTAATTTTTGTTAATGTAGCCCAGGTTAAAGACTCTGAACTGGAGGAAATTGAATCTGGCTGATGTGTTTGAATGCTGACCATGAGCTCTCCACTAAGCTGTAAGCATCTCTATGGTCATCACATTTCTCTTCTAGATAAGCGGTATTTTGTTAAATCATTTTGTATTTCCAGTGCCTGGCATTTGTTTATTCATTAATCAAATGTTTATTGCATACCTGTTATGTACCAGGTACTGTTTTAGGTATTAGAGATATGGTAAACAATAAGAATGATAATCATAACCATAGCAAACACTTATATAGCTCATATTGCATGTCAAACATTATTTTAAAATGTTTCCTATCTATTAACACAATGAAACCTACACAACACCTTCTAAGGTAGCTATTAAAATTACCTTCATTTTATAGATAAGAAAAGTATGTCTCCAAGATGTTAAGAAATTTGATCAAAGTCATTAATCTGATAAGAGGTAAAGGAAGAATTCAAAGCCAGGCACTGGGCTCCAGAGATCATACTCTATCACTTAGCCATACTGCTTCTTCCAGATAGACAAATTCCCTGCTCTCATAAAACCCACAGTCTAATAGGATACAGCTGTTTGTAGAATGAATGGATAGAAAAATAGACTCATGTGGACAGGGAGAATGCAGGCACTACAGGTATGGAGAATAGATTTGATAATGGCAGCTCTTAATAATAGAGAAATAAAAGCTATACTACTACTACTAATAGCTAATATTTATGTAGCATATATGTTATATATTTTGGGAGTACTATGTCATATATGTTGAAATGAGTCATACAGCTTATCTTCAATATAGCTCCATGAGGTAGACACTAATAATTAGGCCCATTTTACAGATGAGAAATATTGGTGCTTAAAGAAGTTAACTTGAAACAAAGATATTATTCTGTCTCCAATTGGCAAAGTCATCAGTTGGATCACAAGCCTCCTTAAAATATGAAAATGAGACTGTAATTATGTACTGGTTCTTTCAAAGTTAGAGCTTAAATCACCCATTCTTTCTCCCTTTAAGGGAACAAGGTCTCCTTCCAAGTTTATATATAAAAGTAACATGAATTCCAAAGTGTTATAAAAGCTTGAGTAATGATTATAATTCTTGCTTAATCCAGTGGTGACAGTATATTGATTGCATTATCCTAATACACTGACTAGTCAAAAAATAAATAAATAAAATGGAAAGTAGCTTAATATATCTTACTGTCTCTTCACAACATTTTAATGTCTTTGATTAATTACTTATTTTAGGGCAGTACCACTTGTGCCTAGATAACAAATATTTATAAGTAATGTTCATATTTAATGGTTTAAAATGTGTAAGGACGTGGGTGTTTTCTCTGAAAAAAAGATCAAGTAAGGCGGCTTTGACTATTGTAACCATGGCCCCCTGAAACATCTATATTGAAAACAAACAGAAGAGTAACACCATTTGGAGATGAGAAACGGGGAAAAAAAGAAAAGAAAAAAGACCCCGAAGGCTAGAAACTAACTGGATTAGATTATAAGTGGCACCAAAGCTCTGTTTCTGACAAGGGCTCATTGTCTCTCTCCCCAGGGTACAGAAGGTACACAGCTCATTAGATTATCAGTGAAAGAGAGATGTGACTACTGCTTATTAAATTGAACCTTTTGTTATTTTTAAGGTGGACAGTGAAATGATCCAGAAAATGTTACCTTCAAGTGCGTTTTCAGAGAGTGACTTTGATAACAGACTCTCAGACCACTAGGAAAATCTTTAGACCAGCAAGCAAAAGTTGAAGAAATGGTAGAGGTGAGAAGAGGAGAAAGAGAGGATACTAGGGGGGATAATAGTGGTAGTTTAAAACAGTGGTAATTCAGTTAGTTTCTACATGGTGACTAAGTATTGAAAAATTTATATAGATTTTAGTTATAGAACAGGTGGTATTATGATACTGGCAGCAGAATAAAGTGATTAAGAGAAAATGCAGTCACACAGAGATTTGCATCCTGGCACTTTATAGCTGTGTGACTTTGGGAAACATATTTAACCTTTTAAGCCTCAGTTTTGACATCTGTAAAAT